TCACTGACCACTCCTTTTTAACTTTTGTAATTTTTTCCTTCAGTGGTCTCCTACTAATGCAGCATTTCTAAAACATATTCCAAGGAACACAAAGAACTGTTCCATTCAAAAAAAAAAGACGTTTCATGGTCAAATAAGTTTGGGTAATATTACATACTTTATCCTACATCTAGGGCTTTAAATAGGACCTTGAACAAGTTAGCTAACCTCTGTAGCTAACTTGAACAAGTTAGCTAACCTCTCTGTGCCTGATTTGGTCATCTGAAAGCAGCAACTACCTCAAAATTTATTACAAGGGTTAACTGAAATAATGTACATAAAACACAAAGAATAGTGCCTGGCACACAGAATATGAAGTATTCTATAAGGAGTAGTAGTGGTGGTAAGTAGTAGCAGCAGTAGTAGTGGTAATGGGTAGTGGCGGTGGCGGTGGTGGCGGTGGTAGTAGTAGTAGTATAACTCCGCAGCATTGTTTGGAGGATTAAATGAGATCATATGAAAGTACCTTCACCTAATCTGGGGATGAGCTCCACTGTGAACTGCCCCCAGGTTCCTGCCAAGCCTTGGCATTAGTCAAGTCATCCTTGGGTAATCACTATTCAGGCAACTTTTTTTTAACTTTAATTTCAGGTAATCTATCTCCCTGCCACTGTCCTAAGGTAATTTGATTCTATTATTTTATGTTTTTTAAAAAGTATATTAATGCCACTTTTTCTAAACCAATATGAGGTATTAGGGTATGAAATTTCACTCTGTGCCCTTTATTAATTAATGATTAAATTTTAAGTTACTTCTAAATAGTTATTCCTAAAAATGTGCATAGAATTTATAAATATGATTGGACAATGTACTATTTAATAGCATTAAATATATTTATCTGTATTATTAGTTAACAATGTGAGTTAACTTTTGAAGAATAGATAGGCTGGCAATGTCATCTTTTATCAATCTTCCCTACAACCATTACAGAAAAAAAAACTAATTATAACCAAAAACTCTAAAAATACCGTTATTAATTCAATAAACAACTCTAGAAACTATTTCGTTATTATAATTAACTATGGGCATAGGGAAAAAACTGTCAAACACAGTAGAATTTAAAATCCTATAGTACTGAGATTTGGTTTGAATAAAAAGTTAAGACCTTGAAGACACTATATTAAGTAAAATAAGCCACACATGAAAGGATTATTATTATATGATTCTACTCATATAATATGAGTATGAAGTGCCTAGAATAGACAGATTTATGGAGAGTTAAAGTGGATTGGGGTAAAAGGAGTTGCTGCTTTTTTGTTAGTTTTTGCTTGGGGTAATGAAAAAACTGTGGAAATAGATGGTGGTGATGGTTGTAAAACATTATGAATGTAACTAATGCTCCTGAATTATACACTCAAAAATGGTTTAAAAATAGTTAAAATGGCAAATTTTATGTTATACTACTGCCATTTATATAAATTTATATACTTAGGTATCCATGGATTTTAGTATCTGCAGGGGGTCCTGGAACCAATCGCCTGCAGATAAAGAGACAACTGTATACATTTTATCAAATTTTTAAAAATTAATATAATGTTAAGATATCTAATACCATTGAACTGTATACTTTAAATGGGTAAATTGTACAGTATGTGAATATCTCAATAAAGATGTTTTTTAAAAAATAATTAAGAGAAGTTCGTAATTTGGTCTTGAAATACTCAAAGGGCTCTTACATAGAAAAGGGCGCAGATTTGTTCACCGTCACTTTGAGGACAAAACTAGGACCTCCAAAGCATAAATTATAGACAGGCACATTTCCACTCAATACAAGGAAAAAATAACAGCCAAATCTATCCAGAATCCTCAAGTGTCTCCTCACAAAGCAGAGGAACTGGCACTGGAGGTGTCTTAGCAAAGGCCCACCTGTCAGGAATGCACAGGGCCCCTAAAGCATTCATAAATACCTTGATAAGAAATTGTGTCTACGTCTTTTCTCAAGGGTCCTTATGTTAGATTCTCAACGTGGGACACAGACCCAAAAGAGGTTTAAAAGCCATTGAGGGCATTCCAGCACTTCAAGGGATACTGCACTAGATCTAAAGACTCCTTCTAAATCTGAGGCTGCAAGCCTGTATAGGACATATTCCCCCTCTAAGGAATATAATGAAAAGAGTATTAACTACCTATGGTCACAATCTGTGGTTCAAAACTGACTAGTGGTGCCCTCATTATGCAAGTGAAATATACTGCCAAGAATGCCCCTGGGATAAAATTTGGGTCAAAGGAAGATAACACTTAATGGGGTAAGGTCCAGTCAGATTAAGATGTTTCCCTTCTCTGCTCCCACAGAACCCAACAGCTATTCCTCACTCTTCTGAGTTAGTTCCTCCTCATCTCCCTGAACTTTAAACACTAGAATCACCACAAGGCTCAATTCTCAGACCTACCCTGATTTATTTACCTGGTTCTATGGTTTTAAATACCCTAGATAAACTGAGAGTGCCCATATTTATTTACAGTCTCCAGTCTGGAAGTCTCTAAATTCCAGATTCGTATATCTTTTTATGGTTTTAGCTCGTAAATACTTAGATCACTGATCTAAATATAGGCCATTTTGAGTTCATTTCTAGATATGATATGAAGACATCTATTCTTGAATATCTATCAGGCCTCTCAAACTTCGTATGTCCTGAATCAAACTTTTAAGATTCCTCCACCAAACCTGCTCCTCTCAGTCTTCCATAGCTCCATAAAGACTCAGGTTAAAAATCTCAGAGTCATTCTTGACTTCTCTTTTTCTCTTACAATCTATATCTAAACCATTAACAAATTATGTTGGCTTCACCTTCAAAACATATCTCAAATGCAACTACTTACCACCTCCTCCTCTATTAACCTGGATTATTGCAATTGCCTTTAACTGGACTTCGGCTCTCAGCTTTGCTTCCCTACAATGTATTTAACAACCAGTCAGTGATCCTGTTCAAAGTATAGGTCTCTGTCCTAAATCCTTCTATGACTTCCTATCTCCCTCAGAATAAATGCAACAGTGCTTTCCATGGCCTACAGTGGTCTACACAATTTGCCCCGAATACATACACACACACACACACACACACACATTTTTCTGGTCTCATCTTTTCCCTCTCTCTCCTTCCTTACACCAGCTTCAGTAGTCCCATGGATGTACCTCTAACAAGCATATCCTGCCTTTGCATTTATTGCTTCCACAGACTGAAATGCTCTTCCCCTAGATATCTCCATGCCTAACCCCTTTACCCACTTCCGGTCTTTGCTCAAATTCACCTTCTTAGTGAGGCCTTCTCTGATCATCCGACTTAAAACAGCAATTGTTCCTCCCTCCCCTGCTACTCCTATTCCCCTACCCCACCCCTGGCAAACATTAACATTTTTTCCATACTTATCACCATCTGACATGCTGTATATTTCTTGTTTATTTTCCCCCACTAGAATGTAAACCCCATGAAAGCAGAGGCGTTGACCTGTTCATCTATACACTCATGCTCAGAACAATGCCCAGTACATAGCAGGCCTTCAATAAATATTTGTATAACTAATAAATTAGCAGCATGCTATACTGTAATCGCCTGCTTATATATGTCTCCTTAAGGGACTGTGAGCTTTCTGCAGGTAGCAGCACTGTCTCACTCATCTCTGAATTTCCAGCACCTAACGTTAGAGCTCTGGCACACAGTAGGCAGTGATTTGAAATGAATGAATCAACAAGAGTGGCCACAGAAAAATCCTCAGCCTTTCAAACACAGTCTCTGCGCTATCACTCTCTAAATACAAGACAGAGCGTGTGGGTTACTTCAAGGAAGAGGTTTCAATACCAACTCCCAGGCCCTCACACGTTCTCCGCCCCAACCCCTCCGACCCGTTATCCCCACGTTAACCAACTGAGATAATGAGTAACGGTCAGAGCCAGAATTTGAACCATGAACAAGCCCGAAGGAAGGCGTAGTTGTGACTTGACTTGAGATCAAAGGTGGCTGGACTCCAAAAAGAAACACTGTCCCAGGGGTGGAAGGGCCCCGGCGATCACAACCATAGAATCCAAGTCCCTCTTCTGACAGCTGGGGAAAGTAAAGCCCAGAGAGGAAAGCGACTTGCCAGAGGTCACATAGCAAGTCAGCCAGGGTGAGAACCCACCTTATGCTGCCCAGGCAGCCCCAGTTGCCTATTTCGGGTGGTGCCCTATGCGGCGAGGCCCCGCGGACGCACGTGCTTCGAGGTCCCCGAGAGCCCGCCTGCTCGCAGCTTAAGGGCCCCTGCCCACCTCGGAGCGGGGCTGGGGTCAACAACCTTCCCCTACCAAACGCCCCTCTCAGCCCCGGAGCCTGCTCGGGGCCAGCGGCTGGCAGCGCGCACCGCGGAGGAGGGCCCGGGCTGCCAGCTCCGCGCCCGCCGCTTACCTAGCCGGATCCCGCGGGAACCTGAAGAAGGCCAGGTCCGACTGTGTGCTCTTCCGCGTGCAGTTGGGGGCCGCGCAGAAGTTCGGCATCGTCGCCCGCCCGCCGGCCGGCCCAGCCCTCCCCTCCCCGCCTCCTCAGGGCAGCCCGCCCGCCCGT